ACCGTCTCCTGCATCCTCATTCGCTCAAACGTATAAATTTCTTTGTCGGTAACTATTGTTACTTTGTACCTCGGTACATGATATTTCTCCTTAGTTTAACCCAATCTACCGCTATTTGCAAAGTGGCTACTTTTGCATCAGACACCCTGTATATCTACGCGGGTGATATATAACATAATATACATGTATATATACGTATACACACATATACGATTCACGCGCGCATGTGTGTACTATATTTTTGATATTTTTGTACCCATTCTCTATATACTTATTATGTATTATACATGAAATAAACATATTTTTTACAATTCTGAGCTTTGCGTATATCCCCAAGCGCACGGAAAAAAAATATATATTGTATCAACACGATCAACGTAGTTGAAATAAAATCGTTGAAACAACATCAGTATTAACCCTTTAAGGACCGATGACAAAGATCTTTGTCATGAAACATTTTACTGCGCCTAAGTCCAGGCGTGTTCTTGATAATGAAAAAGGATGTTACTAGATGTATTAAAGTTCGCTGAATACGATCACGCAGTCAGTTTTTCCATTTTCCGCATCATAAACAAAACGCGGCTACTCGGAAAACGGTCTTTTTCCGACTTTCTGCGAATCTTTGTCGTGAAACATATGACCATCCTGAGGCTGAAAAATCTAAAAAAAAATGAATTCTGGTGGGAACTTATGTTTTTTTGGGTTGTTGAATATGAATTTGACGTGAGATTTTCGAAATTCAGAATGGCTGAATCAATATGGCGGGGTCAGTACTGTTGACAACACGGGTTTTTTTCGAACAAATATTATATGTATGACTTTGCTATTACTTTTACAGAGATTTTCAGAGGTGCTGAATATGAATGTTCCATTATAATTCAGAAATTGACATTGGTGAATCTAATATGGCGGATTGTACAGGATGTTTCAAAAAAGTTTTTTTTAAATTCCAACATGTCCAACAATCCAGAATTCCAACATGAAATTCGTATTCAGTACTCGCGAGAACCTGAATTCGCGAATAATTTGTAGTTGGAAAACCTAAACGTAGAGTTCGAGTGAATTTATAGGTATTCTTCCCGAAAATACGGGATCTTGATCAATTCGCCATATTGAATCCCCTGATGGAAAAATTTTGCTGAAAACGTAATGAAATTTGCTGAAATTTGGTTGAAAATCTCTTGCAATTGACCCAATTTCATTATCATTTCAGCAATATTTCATTAAAAAATTTATTTTCAGTAAAATTCTGCAAATTTCATAATATACATTTCAAATTTTTTTCACTAATTTTTAGTAATATTAATTAACTTTCATCTAATTTCACAGTATTTCATTGAATTTCATAACGAAACTTATGATTTATTTTGATATTATCAGGGATACCCTGATGGAAAAATTTTGCTGAAAATGTAATGAAATTGATGAAAAGTGAAATGAAAGTTATTGGAAACTTGTTGAAACCATTTCAAAATAAATCATAAGTTTCGTTATGAAATTCAATGAAATACAATTAGATAAAAGTTAATTAATATTACTAAAAGTTAGTGAAAAAATTTTATAACTGTATATTATGAAATTTGCAAAATTTTACTGAAAATAAATTTTTTAATGAAAAATTGCTGAAATGATAATGAAATTGGTTCAATTGCAAGAGATTTTCAACCAAATTTCAGCAAATTTCATTACGTTTTCAGCAAAATTTTTCCATCAGTGTCTGCTATCGTGAATTTCGGGAATTCAACATGAAATTCGTATTCAACATCACTAAAAACTCTCAAGTACAGATTTTCAGCGAAATATGTCGGATTTTAATTTTTGGGACTTTAGGCCCATTTTATGGATTTGGTTCGGTCCTTAAAGGGTTAACGAATGAAAAACATCAGATAGTTGTTTTAGTAATCTAGATATTTAGTTCGATTCTTAAAATTAAAATCCATAGCAAATACAATCGAGTGAATTATTTGTGTTCGTGGCAGCCCGTGACGTTAACGTTTAATTCAAGCAACTTTATTTTTTAAGATTTAACAGCATTTTTTGCCGTGCATGATTTTAACGAACAATAACTGTCTATTAACATTCGACTACTTATTACTCAATTACTTGAATTACTTTGTTTCGAGAGTCGTTCTCGTGCGAACGTTACAATTAAACGGAGCGTGAAATATCGAATAAATAAAAGAAGGAAGAAACGTTAATTAATTTTAACGTTTACGAGAACGGCTCCACCAGAAGGCAGTCTGCAATGTCGGGTAAATTGGCAGTAAAGTACCGCTTGAGCGTGCACGTGTCAGCGGCAGATAAAAATCGGACGGTGATGTGATTTCAGTCGAAGCTTAACTGCGAGGTCCTCGAGGACAGCTTGGCCTTCGAGGTACGATGGGCCGTGGCCGGAGACAGCATTGTCGTCCAGCTCGTTGCAAAGCTAGGTAAATATAGACAGCCGCGTTGAAAGCCGCGGCTTCGACGCTCCTCGGGACGAAGAGACGTTATTCGAAAAGTGCGTGGAGCTGGAGAGGAGAAACGTTCGTCTAACGTTAAACGCGAGTCTCTCACATGAGTCCGCGACTACAAAGCCGAATTCTGTCACGACAGATGCCGGACAATACATGTCCTTCGGAGTATCCGCGGACACGGAGAGGAGCACGATGGTCGGCGGGGACGTCACCGTGGCCTGGGTCGACAAGCAGACCCTGCAGGGATACGCCATCGATTACTTCCTGGACGCCAAGTCCCAGTGCTCGGGACGCCGCGGTAGCTGCCCGGACAGGCGTATACAGGTAGACGAGCGTGTCGGACTTAGGGCCTGAACAGAATTGGCTATCTTGTATTCTTAAGATACGAGACATGTGCGTTACCTTAAGCCAAGGATTAAAAACATAAAACATTGTCTTAGGGCCAGTTTCACAAACGTTGATTAACTGCTAACCAAAAGTTAACTGATTCTCCGTCTCTTCTAGATAATAAGATAGAGAAAGATAGGGAGTTGACTGAACTCTGGTTAACAGTTAACAGACGTTTGTGAAACTGGCCCTTTTAAGAGTACATATGCTTTGGTGAAGGTGAACTGTTTCTCATAGCGAAATATGACCCGTTCTCCCGCAGGAGAACACGGACTCGGTGCGGCTGTTGAACGCGGCGATGGTGAACGGCTACAGTATCGTCACATACCAGAGACCGCTGAAGGCCAGCGACGAGCTGGACCGGCAGATATTGACGAATAGATCGCAGGCTATAATCTGGGCGATCGGGCCGCTAAACGAGCGGCAGGAGGTCAGTTTTCACAGCCATTATCTGAGGACTGATCGGTTCATCGAGTTCGGCAGACCGCCCGCGTGGAATTGCCCGATGCCAGATCAGGAGCCTCCCCACGATGTTAACGAGACGGCGGGCAGCAATCAGGTAAGCGGCGGAGCGTAATCGAAAGCGTAATTAACACGTTCGCTACTTCCGCGATCACGCGTGACCGGCGCCTGACTTTTCCGCGGCGCTCTGGCGCGAACGGTCGACGCTGTCCAAGTGCGTTTTAAAGCGCTTTCTGGAAAATAAATATCATTTAACACAAAATTCTGAGTGGCACGAACAATGCAAGGTAAAAAGCGACTTGAGACACGCTCTTCATCGGGACATAGTCTTATTTAATCATACACTCATTGTCAGTAAAAAAAAGCGGTACACCTAAAATTTGTAAAAAAATCACGAAATTTCGTTTCGAATGACGATAACTACGCGAGTAATAATGATAGAAAGGTTTCTAAAAAAAGAAATTGAAGCTTGAAATCTCTACTTTAAGAATTGACATGTCAGAGTTTTGCAATAATTTTTTTCAAAATGGCGGATGACAAAACGAAAGCATACGAAATTGAAAATTTTCGTCCGAGTTTGCGACGATCCATGGCGAGAGGCAAGTATTGCAACTTAATGGGATAAAAAGCACGCGATGGTACAGAGTCTCCCCTTCAAAATGCTTTTTTACTCGTTTCGATACGATGATTTTTCGCTGAGATATGTGCATTTGAATAAAAAGGCCGGTTTTTACTTTAAATGCGCATATCTCAGCGAAACATCATCGTATCGAAACGAGTAAAAAAGCATTTTGAAGGGAAGACTCTGTACTATCGCGTGCTTTTTATCCCATTAGGTTGCAACACTTGCCTCTCGTCGTGGATCGTCGCAAACTCGGACGAAAATTTTTCAATTTCACATGCTCTCGTTTTGTCATTCGCCATTTTGAAAAAAATTATCTCGCAAAACTGATGTATCGATTCTTAAAGTAGAGATTTCAAGCTTTAATTTCTTTTTTGAAAAACCTTTCTATCATTCTTACTCGCGTAGTTATCGTCATTCGAAATTTGGTAATTTTTTGACAAACTTTAGGTATACCGTTTTTTTTTGGACTGATTGTATTACGCACTGTTTTAGGCTTTCGATGGAAATTCTATTGCGACGTATGGTGAGCAAAACTCGCTGAACAACGTGTTAATTCGTCGTGTCAGAGTCGCGAGTCTAATTGTTATAAGTTAGGGAAGAAAAATTGTTCTGTACTCTCTAAAAGTCAATCAGTGGATTATCATTGATTTACAGTTATAAATATACCCCTGCAATTTTCAGTAGTATCCCAGTGAGAAATGATTCGTCGATCGATGTCGAAACGATGTCGAATCGACGTCGTTTTGACATCAATCGACGAATCATTTCTCACTGGGATATTCATAACTGCAAATCAGTGACTATTCACTGTTTTCAACGAAAGTTCACCGATTGGCTTTTAAAGAGTACATAATAATATTGTTTTCACTCTGGTACTGATACTATCTTTTGGAAAATACATTGAAATAGGCCATCGTCGTCACGAGAAGGCCGCAACGTGTACCGGCGACTCCTGCACCGGCTTCAACGAACGACGCTTGGGAGATACCACCGATTCAGTGTTACGAGCCGGACGACGGTATCTTCTACGCGCAGCTGGGACCTACCGGAGGAAAACACGGCTACCCGGCTATTACCGGTACCGAACCAGACGATAATCTCGATGCGAGGGATATCGTCTCTCGACTTGAGTCAAAAAGTTCTGTTCCGCGTAACGTGATTTACACATGCACGGAATTTATCCTGAAAATCGTGTAATCGTGAGAAAACGTGGAATTTTTAAGAACTTAATGCGAGTTTTTTGAAATTTTACTAGTAAAATGTATACTAAGAATACATTTTGATAAAATTTTACTACACATTTTACTAAAATGTCTAATAAAATTTCAAAAAACTGTCAAAATATTACAATGCTCAATCGACAGAGAAAATCTCTCCCTCGATACAAAATTAGACTTCGCTAAGTAATTTAAAAATCTAATCGGCGCTGCTTTCGTAAACACTGTAAGATTTATTTATGTCTTACCTTTTACGTAGAAAGTATGTGAAACGGATTGTATATATTTTTTTTATGATACTCGTCACATAGTTTTGGAGATTCGGGGCACATTTAGACTTTCGCGAAGCTAATCAAAATTCGCACGGCACTCAATCCGCGAAGAAAGTCCTCGCGCGAGTCGCAAGAAAGCCACATCGCGTCTGCACTCCAAACCGGTCTTCGCTTCACTTTCTCCAGGTCACGTTGGCTGGGGG